CTATAAGTATATAGTATAGATGTGTGCGTATGTATGTTTCTAAGCATGCATGTATGTGCATGGGTATGTAGTAGGTGCTGTGTATGTTTAATTAGTATGTATTATGTGTATTTTAGCACATTGATTTCAAGTTGAGTAAACGTGCTCTTGTATGGATAGTATGAATTAGTATGTGATTGTTGTGTGTCTTTGAATGATCTACTGGTTTGTAGAACGGTTGGATAGCAACCGTTATTCGTTGTTGTAAGCATTCTCATCATAGCAAGCTCGTGAGTACGGTCTCTATCTCACTGCCTTTCTTCAATTTTGTTTTGTTGCCTGCACGAACGCGTAATAATGCTCGGCGACATTGTCGAGGAAGACGGTGACGTAGTGTCATGTCAATTGTCGTAGGTAATGGTATGTAGAACAGCGTTACTGGTGCTTCGCCTACTGCTGGCATTGAAATACGAAAGTTTCAAACGTGTTTTTAGATGAATGATTATTGCTATACAGTCAGTATACAGTTATTTATTGTTTGCTATTCTTAGCAAGAATCTATTGACTATTCTTAGGCTTAGCAGATGATCTGTTAAAACAATGCGGATACCATTTTCCTGAGCTCCTGCAGTATCAACATTCCATGAGTATCCATGAGCTTTTGCAGAATCAACATTCGTAGACGCAGAACCTGCACATGGCCTATGCAGTGATACATCCATAAGTGTTCGGAAAAGTTTCATGCAATTCCCGCACTGATGTATCGTCGTCATTTCCACAGCCATTTTGTTGCAATGAATTGTGAGATACTTCCCCCAAGTGAGCGGCTCGGCTAGCGGGTTTGGTTACTTCGGCCTCACCCGGGTAACGCAAAAATACCACGTGACTGCCAAATCGAACGTATTTGGGGCTGGCCCGAGTAGACCCAGGCTAACTTGGGGAAGCAAATCGAACGCACTAATTGTCATTACCGTGTTACTATCTAACTGGTAATCCACAAGCTTATCTAATAGCAGACTTTACACGGTATTAGTACTCACTGCTGTTACGCTAGTATTAGCAAGCTGTACACGCACCAAAAGTACATACGAACCTGGTACACTATACGATCATAGCCGCATTACACTAGTATGAACCTCTGTGTTTACACTCTGACCTGATTTCTACGGTGCGACAGTATGCATTACTGCACCCTGATAGATGTCTTGCGGCTACCGCGAGAAAGTCCGAGAGATGGCAACGGTAAACAAAACAGAACGCAAAATTGTAATTGTGCATGATTTGGTGAATACGAAGGTTCTAAGGCATTTTATCGTTACTCTAGATAATTGCTGTTACTCAAGCAATAACGGTAGGGATCATGAAAGTGGGGAAAACACTGGAAAACTCTCGCAATAATTACTTTAAGGCCAGTGAAATGACCTCACGTGATTCCGACGTTGTGATCAGGCATCCGAGTGGTAGACCTCCAGCGGAACTATGCGTTAAGAGCATAAATATTCGGCAATCGTAACGATCCATGCCACCAGATGGATCAATGAAGACTAATTCCCCACTAAAGTTATGGCTTTTGTGCACTCGCTTAATGAATGGGGTACACAGTGCGATTACGAGTTTTCCATTGACTTGTCCAAGCTTGCCACATTCCTCTCCTTGTTCACTGTTATTTATAGGTGTCTTCACACAGTGCAACGTTGTGTTCATCAGTCTTCCGTTATATAGGCGCAATGATGAATGTAATAATACAATGTAAAAAATAATTATGTAAGAAAGTAACATTATAATACTACTGGGATGGAAAGGAGGTTCTGAATAAGAATTAACCATGTATCTTGAGTAAACTAAACATAGGTCAGATTGCAAGAAAATGCACATATTGCACATGTAGGTATTTTCTCTCAGGGCAAGAGCACATCTAATTTGCTAGTGGCACATTTTATAGCTGGCTCACCTGACTTGTTAGCAGATATACCCGCATATATGCATTACACTAACCACAAATCCATCACCTTCCTGTGGTCTTCTTTGCTTTGCGCGTACCATTACAGAGACCTGAAAATAGTCATGGATCGCACAAACTCGTAAAAGTACACGGATCCTTACGATTTGGCCACTTTTAATGTTAATTAACAAAGTCTCCCAAACAATCCCCGAGTCTCCCGTTATATAAGCGCAATGATGAATGCAATAATACAATGTAAAAAATAATTATGTAAGAAAGTTACATTATAATACTACTGGGATGGAAAGGAGGTTCTGAATAAAGAATTAACCATGTATCTTGAGTAAACTAAACATAGGTCAGATTGCAAGAAAAATGCACATATTGCAGCATGTAGGTATTTTTCGTCTCAGGCAAGAGCACATCTAATTTGCTAGTGGCAGCATTTTAAAGGCTGGCTCACCTGACTTGTTAGCAGATATACCTGCATATATGCATTACACTAACCACAAATCCATCACCTTCCTGTGGTCGTCTTTGCTTTGCGCGTACCATTACAGAGACCTGAAAATAGTCATGGATCGCAGATCCAATCACCTCCAGATACATCTTTCCTTCCACTTTCCTGTGGTCTTCTTTGTTTTGAACGTACCATTACTGACACCTGAAAATATAAACATATTCAACAACGATCTAACCTGCTTTTACTTCAATACTCAACTACTCACAACCTCGACGCTTATTTTCAGATAGATCTGGTTGTCCTGTCGGGCAACAAGAAGAAATTTTTACTTGTCCAAAATTTACGAGCGATTTACGTGTTATTACGAGCTATTTACGGTTTATTACGGATTATTACGAGTTATTACGATGTATTTACGGCAAAATTCCACGATTTGTTAAGAGTTGTCACGGATAACTACGAGCAACTTAAGGCATTTTACGGATATATTACGGAATTCCACACAAATATCTCTTTATACCCAACATACCTAATCCCATACCTTGAGCCAACCCTTACTAGTACACACCAGAAAACCACTCATCTTTTCCCTGCTCACTGCACAAATGTTTTACGTACTTGCCCACTATTGCCCTCGGATCGCAACTTGGCACATTTAGACATGCTTTAACACGTATTCTTGCCTGGCTCACTAGTTTCTTTCTCTGTTACTTCTAACTGCTTCATCATACTTTTCCTTTGCCTCGTCTATTGATTGCTTATCCGCTGCCTCATGTGAAACACCTCCATCTCTCGATTAGCTGCCCTAATTTAGAGCTCTTAGAAAGGCTAAGCCTATTACCTTCATTTTCTGCCTGCATTACTACTTTGCGATACCTAATTTGAATTCGCAGTGCTTCCAGCTTGCTTCTCTCAGATGTACATTTCCCTAATTCACACCTAGCATTTTCTTCAGTATTCCAAAGCCCACTGCGCACTACACAGCTCTCGAGTTAGTTTATCTATTCTGGCTCTGCATTGCTTTTGTTTATTCATTGCAATAATCAACCTTCTCTTTTGTATCTCTTTCTTCCACCTAACAAATTCTACTCTGCTCATTCACTGATCTAGCTGCCCACTCAATGTACTCCGTGCGTTTCTCGGATGCTAGTGGCCCAAGCTATTCCCCAGTCTTATTTTTTTGTACATAATTAATCCTCTTATTGCTCTTGTGGTGGCATTTGCGCTTTTCTTTCAGAATTCTATCAACATGCCAAAATCTCTTTCTACACTATCATTTGTTGTTGGAACTGATTTTAGCTATTATCCTATCTTCCTCTGTATGCTTAGATATGAACTCCCCTAAGTGATCTCCTAACATTCTTGTACAATGACTAATAACGAGGAACAGATTCATTCTAGAGCGCTGTTCTGTCTGTTCATCAGCTCGCAAGGTTTACAACAAGGATTCGCACACTGCATTCCACTCTATCAACGAAGCTTCCCCAACAACTTCGCACTACCGTCTACAGAGCTCCATGCTATCTCTTGTCCACTTAAGTTGTTTGATAAGCTTGATTCATATCATAGATGTGATCTCTACACACAAATTTTTTCTCCATAAGGCGCTGGTAACAAGTGTTTGCACTTCCTGAGGCTGCAGGGAGTTGACGACGTCTGCGGAATTGATAAGGAGCTTGAGCAGCTTCGAAATCGACGTGATCTTTATCTCCAGCCGGAACCTTCGTCTGAGCTTCTCTCCGTAACGGTGGTGACCTCCGTCTGAGCTCTCTCTCTCCGTAACGGTGGTGACCTTCCGTCTGAGCTTCTCTCTCCGTAACAGTGGTGACCTTTGTCTGAGGCATTTTCTCTCCGTAACGGTGGTGAACCCTTTCTGAGCTTTTCTCTCCGTAACGGTGGTGACCTCTGTTTGAGCTTCTCTCCGTAACGGTGGTGACCTCTATTTGAGCTTCTCTCCGTAACGGTGTGTGACCTCCGTTTAAGCAGCGATGGCTGCGTTAATCTGAATGTAGGATGTGGTGGCTGCAAAAACGGTGACTTGGTGGTTGCTGCGCTTGACAACGTTCCAGGTTGGACTGTTTCACATACTCCATCGCCTGCAGCGTGGCTTCATGGGTGAACTCCTCCAGGCAGGAAGGGGCGCATGAGCATGAGGCAAGAGCATGTCATGAGCATGCTGAGGAAGTCGCAGGTCTTCTCTATGTCACTCTTCGGCTCTGACAGCTCCTGCGGGACTTTGTTGAGGTAGTCGGAGCTGGAGGCTGTTGTCGCTGATGTTGTCGCTGACTGTAGTGTACCTTCAAGGGTAGTCTGGGGTGTCACTGATGACTCACTGCAGTCAGTGCTTGTCAGGTCTTTTAATCTTCGACCCTCTGGTGGCCCTGGCTTGACAGACATACGGCTTGACGAACTCAAACTTCTCCAACAACCAGGTGATTCTAGGCGTCATGATGTCATCTACAGCACCGGCGCTGGATCGTGTTGCATTTTCCTTCTTCACCTCCTTCACGTACTGGGTCCTCAACGAAGTATACCATCTTTAGAGGTCGCCAGGGTTCAGCAGCATCTTCTGATCCATCTCCTGCCAGGCGCGCTCCTTTTTGTGACAGACTTGTCTTAAAGGAATCGGTTCGACTTCAGCCACTCAATAACCTCATCCTTTTCTTCCGTTGTGAGGGACCTGGCCATCTTAGTCTTAGGCTTCTTGTTCTTGTGCTTCTGAAAATATAAAATAAAGCCAATTTCATAATACACATAAAAACAAATAATTGTACAATTACTATAGTTATATATTATACATTATTTTGACTTACTGCTACAGTCGTCGTGGCAGTAGCTGTGTCTGCAACATTGCCCGAAACATCACTTCTGGAGATCGAGGAGTCACGTTTACTGGCTACTATGTCAACTACAAGTTTAGTCTCTTCGACCTCAACAGGGTTAGGCTGCGGTGGTGGTTCAGGGTTAGGCGAGCGTGCCCTCTTCTTGTTGACTAACCCTAACCCTAACTCGCAGAGAGGGATGCCAGTACCCAAACACTGGGTACTGTTAATGGCCCTTCGCTTTTTTGCGAGTGGCCATAAATCTATGATGACTTAGTTTGTTCGTTCTAATGATATTTCTACTTAGCAGTAGTAGAATTACTCGCACTAATCGTAGTAATTCTACTAGTAATTTACTAGTATTAGTAATATGCCTACCCGATGTTGAACTTGAAGTAGGCCTAACAAACGAATCCAGCGTATCCGCTCCCGGAATCCCGCTCCACGATTCTCGCTCCTCGTTGATCTGAATTATCTTGTCTGTTATAAGGCCACCTCCTGTTTTTTTTTTCAAATCTTTCTTTTTCATCGCATTTTCTTTTTTCGCCGCAACACACAAATTCTTCCACTTAAACTTCACGTCCTCTGCCGATCGCTCGCACACTCCAATACTGCTTATTTGCTCCGCGATTTCTCTCCATATATTGTTTTTGCACTTGTTTGTTACATCGTTCGTTAGCTTCGATGTGAGCACACTCTTGTTAAAATCATACAATTCCACTAGCAGTGCCTTTTCTGCACTAGAAAAATTCGGAGATCGCTTCTTCGTTCCTGCCATTGCTGCGTTTAGCTTGTTCGTCTGCTGCTGGCGTCTGTTCTATTCTTATTATTATTGGAAATTATGGGATACTAACTCTGAGTTACTTAACTCAGGATTTAATCCATGTTTATGAAACCCAAATTTAACTCGGAGTTTACTAACTCAGAGTTTGTGAATTTAACTCAGAGTTAACCTTAACTCAGGGTTAAAGTTAATTCACGACTGTGGAACCGGGTCCTGGAGTGTAAATTGTTCTGCCGCCTAAGAATACAACTGGATTACACTCGGATGCATGTTGTTAATTTACACTAATCATGTGCCTATGTGCGCCTCATTCGACAACAAAATGCTAGATGGACTTGCGGCCCCGGTTTTTGCGCGCAGCGCGCCCCAACAGCGTATACGCCGCCCCCTTTTTGTCCCCTTAGACAGATACCTTAGACAGGGGTCTGAAAACGCACTGCGCGAAAACTGGGCGCAATCCAACCGACATTTCCGGATGGACGCAGGAGGCCATCTCCAAACGGCCCCTAAACTTTTTTTGGGGTGGCGCGCCTCATGGCTAAGACGTAGTGGCTCTTACAAGAAAATGCAAGAAATGCTGTCAATCAGCGATGACGCGCTCGCTCATTGGCCGCTACGCGATGACGGGCACTACTGCCGAGTATAGAGTTTTGTCTATCACAGAGCTTTTTACGAAGTGTCGTACGGCGCTCCACGTTGGGGGGCGCGGTCTAGATGCTATCTGCAAATGCGATGCCGCCGTTACGTCGCCTGGCTGCGTACGTGCCATGTTTTGAGCAACCTGACCCCGCGCTGCCCGTGGCAACGGCACGTCGTGCGAGCACCTGCGCTGGCGTGGCCGGCGAATACTGCGAGCACGTGGTGGCATGGCCGTGCCAGTTTTTACACGTAGCTAATCTGTAGATACTGGCAAAGCAGCCGCAGCAACAAATACTAAGAGCACACAAATACTCGCCCCTGCCGCGCAGCGCCGCAACAAGCAGCAGCAGAGCAAATGCCGCCGTAGCCGAGCCGGTGTAGTGTGACGAAAACTGCGCGATGTTACGCTTCCCGCTATACGGATTCGCGCGCGCCCGCCTCCTTCGCGCGCGCGAATTCGTATTATAGCGGCAGCGCGAGGATGTACATACACACACGCGCGTCGGTGCGCCAGTCCCGCGGAACGTGCGCGGTTTAACCGTCTGGCGTCGGGAACAACGCATCTTGTACCCGTCTCTCTGGATATTGGCCTTGTTAAATGCAAGTAAGGGCATTATATTAATGGATTTCACCATTAAGAACAAATTCTAAAGGTCTTAGTTTACGTAAAAAGCTAGTCAGTTAGGGCATAAGCCCTTTGTGTACATTTCACATAATTTTGCCAATATTTCTCAATGTAGTGCTTTCAGCCGCGCTATGCACAGCACTCTATCGTCGTGGTGCTATTTAGTTTCTTATGTTGATATGTTGCATTGAACAGGTTTTCTTATTTTATAGAAATTCTGGTGTACATATTGCAACGTGGTAATCATACGTACCATGATGTTACCATTACACACAGCTGGAGCTGTCAGTGTTGACAGGTCATGGACACAGCATCGTGATGTCAATTCTCCATTATTTTCTTTGTGATGTCGCAGCGAAACCTCTGCTTAAATGTAAAGTATTGACATTTTCTGCCATCTTTATTGATGTAACACTTTCTATTAAATTTTAAATAAACACAAACCAAGTAATACCAAAATTACCGTACATTTATATGGTCAACACAATAGTATGTATAAGTAGTTTCATAAACCTTAATCCGACATGGTATATAACCGCGAACCTCATTTACATTCATGTGAGGCAGCGTTGTCACCTGGAGTTATTGAAAGTCTATGTATATTTCAAAAGCCCAGTAAGTTATGTACTATGTCTTGAACATATACTGAGGTTGGACATACCATGTTGCGTTGCTATTAAATTAGCACAGCATTGTGATGATCAGACTTGCAGAACAGCGGACAAGGACACTTAGTATATAGAATACTCAGTGTGGCGCAAAGTTTGTGGGTCTGACCGATTTTTTCCACCAAGACTGTTTTGTAAATCAACTTTTTTTTTCTGATCAAACAACTGATGTAATATAAGGCTTACGATCAAAATGGTGGTTATTTGGAAATGTATTAAGCCATATCATTCCTTGCAGAGGCAAATTTGCTGTTTTACTTATAGATTCTGTCATGTCCAAAAATATAGTTGGCATTTACATGGTAGGGTATTCTTAGAAGCTTAAAAGTAATTCGACTGGTATGTAAATGTTCAACATAAATTTAATTTAACATTAAGTCCCCAACATAGACAGCAAATTGTGTAGGAATACCTTGCGCTGAATTCCATCCTGCAACCGTAGAACTATATAAATCTATCTTTGATATTTTACTTCACCTTCATATGGTTTAAACGACAACTCAAAAACCTATTTAGCAGAAGTAGCTAGCAATTATGTAATTACTCAGAACTCCAGAGACGTGCGTAGCTTCTAGAAGATGGCTGCACGGGTCACTATATCAATTTTAGACAGAGTAAAGCTGTAATAGTTAAATACCACAACAACCAGTTGACACCATCACAGTGTTAACTGCGGGCAGAGAGTTCTGTTGTTGGTATAGAGCAGCATCATGTTTCTATAAATCAATAGCATTCCTTGTAGCATGTTCTGACTTTAAAGTACGCATACAATACCACATTGCTGTGGTATTGTTATATTGTTCAGTGTAGATTTGACATGTTTAAAAAATACTACGTGTTAATGCTGTTCAGAAATGTGCAGGTGGTGCAAACAATTTGTTGGATTGTACCTTAAGTTTTAATAGACAGACTCCTGTAAATTCCTTGAAAAATCTGCCAGCAGTTACACAATTCATGCCGATGATACTTCTGCAAGAAATTGTTCTAACAATTTTTAATATGAAGGTTTAACATTGACTTAAGTATGTGGCTGTTGTGAATATTATTTAAGAATTCCTGTGTAATTTAGGCCTTTTGACAAGGAGGATAATGTTCCTCACCGTTAATACCATTCATGGTTTTTGTCATCAATCTCTTTCCTTGATAAGGACAAATGATGTGGTGCGCCTCTTTATATGGTTTTAGTCAGTCCCAGTACGATGAACTTTTATACATTTAGCCAACTGGTCACGGCGCAGATCAGCGAAATGGACC